ATTTCATCTGCAGTATATTTGCTGTCGATTGGGGTCCGATCGCACAGTAGCTGAGGATGGGAAAAGCCGCACCAAGACGACCCAAGAGAATCCCCAGCAACAGGGAGCCCGGCTGGCAAAAGCAGGTGCTCGCAAGATTCGCACCATTTGTGCGTGGAATGTATTTCAGAGGGAAAGCCTGGCCGGACGGTCTTTGAAAGGCGAGGAATACCATGCCAAGCTCAAGGAGTTGTCGGCTCAGTGGCGACAAATGGATGCAGGGCAGAAAGAGCCCTTTGTTGTCAAAGCCGCGCATCAGCAAGCCCTTTTGGATGACTTGGAAAAGACACCACTTGATTCGGCGGCTGCAACCGCAGCCAAGGCCGAGGACAGGGAGGCTGCTTCTGCTTCAGAGGGTGCTTGGAAAAATGCTTGCAAGAAGAGATCGTACAGACGGCTGGAACTGAATACACAAGCATTTCAAAAGCATGAGCTTTGGGAGATCCCGACACAGCTGGGAGACGGCACCTGAGCGGTCAATCGTGAGCGGAAGGTTGTATGGTTAGTATGATTCATGATCACGGTATGTTGTCAGAGGTAAGGTGAAGTAAGGTTCGGTTCGTAATTCATCAAGCCATTTCATCGTTTTATCTTTTTCCTGTATGTAATATGTATGTTATAGTTATAGTATTACTTCATGTGAACCTGAACATGTGCTGAATTCCTCAAACATCCTTAGGCCTGGGTGCGCTGAAGGCATCTTTGATAGACATCAAATCGAGTGACGATGATATCTTTCGCTCCTTGACAGAGACGATGCACAAGCCTCTTTCGGTTCCACAGGCGGACGCCGGCGACTTGGAGGAGGAGGAGGAACCTCAAAGTCAGGCTCAGTGTTGTCCCGAGCTTTGCATGCAGCACCCGTTGTTCGGGGTTGTGGAGGAATGGAGAACTCGCCTGCGACGGCAGCTTGAGCACCGGAATATCAAATCAAGTGCTTTGGTGACTTTCACAAGCACTGCTTTCCCCAACTGCCTTGCGTATGTTTTGGGTGTCGCGCTCAAGAGGCCCGCCTTGCGTATGCTGATGAACGTATCCGTGACAGAGTCCGAGGTAAAGTTCGAGTTGAGTCACGGTGCTCCGATCGTTGAAACCGACCGGCAGGTGATGCTGCAGCTGCTCAACTTGGCTGGTGGTGCAAGCAACACTTGCGTCCAGGTGGAGGTCTGGAGCCTCCAAGCGAAGATTCGCGCACCGGTTGAGCTTTATGCTGAACCTCAAGATCATTTG